GGTCTCTCTGGTGGTCTCACTCTTACCTCTCCCTCTTACACATGGCACTTCATAGTCAAAGATGGGCAGTACCTGGAATTGTGACAGCAGCAGGTAGGAGTGGGAAATAACAGGGTGTAGGAAATATGTATTCCTACTTCCTTCTTCTTCACTGCCTCGACCTCCCCTACCCCATATCTCCCTGGCCATTCTGCTCTCCTCACCCTGTAGGCCCCCCCCCCATAATACCGGCCACATATGTGTCCTCCAGCAAGTTCAGGCTTTGGCCCTCCCACCCCGCCTTCTGAACCCCGGTGCTCCCCACCCCGCCCTGCCATCTCACTTCTGGCCTTACTCCTCCAACTTCCAAAGCAGCTTTTCACTCTCTCTTGCTGGAAGATTCGGCTACTCTGCAGGTGCACAAGTTGGGAGAGAGGAAACAACAAAACCTTCCCAGAATTCCTGACAGAAAGAATTGAAGAGGAGAATACAATCCAGAACACCCCCACCCCCCAAGTTAAGCCAAGGGGTGGGTCCTGCAAAGTGGATGTATGTGGGACAGAGGCCATATTAGCCTGGAAATCACCAAGCAGAAGTTCCAGGTCTCCTGTTCGGTATTCTCACCAGTGGGGCCCTGCCCAGCTACCAGCTGGTCTGGATGGTCCGACTGCAAAGCCAGCAAGCTGAGGGTCCCTATGCTGAGCCCCAAAGCTCAGCCCTTCCCCTTCCTTTTCCTCTTACTGTTGTTGTTCAGTTATTCAGTAGTGTCAGTGGACCAAAACTTCTCCTGGTAATGACAAGCAGGGCCCAGGGATTTGCTTTTGACTCTTCTACTAGAGGCTGTATAAAAAAAGTAAAGGATTAAATTAAAATTTTTTTAAAACTCCCTGGGGCTTGCTTGCCACCACCCAAAGGAAGAGAACCAAATCTGGGGCCAGCCTGGACAGGAGAAGGATTAAAGGGGATGGCATGTTCTTCATCAGGTAAGGAGCCTCCAGCCCAGCAGGGGGTCTGGCTGGAAAGACACACACTCCAGGCTCAGTACAGATTCCCTGGGGAGCAATGGGGACAGGCGGGAGAGGAGAGTAAATCCTGGGCAGGCCATCCCCATAGCTCATTAAACTTTTTGCAAGAACACAAGAAAGGCCTGCTGTGGTTTATCCCATCCCACTAAAAATTAGAAAAAATCCTTACAACATGAAATGGAGGACAGGACTTTGATAATGATGATGATAATGATCTCGAGATCATGGTTACTATAGGTAAAGTTTGGTAAAATAGATTGCAACTCAACTCTATTTTCTTTCTCTTTTCAGTTCTTTCCTTAACAAATATCTTTCTTTTGACATTTTTTTTACAATAAAATGGATGGTAGACAAAGAAAAATTTTTTGGATTCTTCCTGCTTGATATCAAGAAGTATGTAAATTTTAAAAATAGAATCAGCTCTTTCACATGAAAAGAAATCAAAGGTAGTTTTTTTTTTTGTTCATTAAACTCAATTGTGTCATTGTTGTTTGGTTGTTTCCTACCCTTCGTAACCCCATGGACCATATTGTCCCCATGGGGTTTTCTTGGTAAAGATATTGGAGGGTGTGCTTTTTCCTCCTCCAGTGGATTAAGGCAAACATAGGTGAAGTGACTTGCCCAGGGTCACACAGCTAGTAAGTGTCTAAGGCCACATTTGAACTCAGGTCTTCCTGACTCCAGGCCCAACACTCTATCCACTGAGGCATCTAACTGCCTTACACTGAATATTAGCTTTCTTTTTTTCTTTCTAGTTTTAATGCCTCACCCTTTTTCTCTGACATCATAAATCACTAGTTTTATGGATTTTTAGCTGGTCAGATCTATTGTTGGATAGCGGGTAGGTCACGATGACTGAGGGAGATCTGGAGAAGAGTCTAGAGGCCTGTGTTGTTTGAAACCTGGACACTGACAAGGCCAGAAATCAGGACTGCAGGCCTCCAGCCTCTGCAAGCATCCCAAGACTTTGTGTCCCCTTGAAGCCTGAGGCCTTGGGGATGGCATCCATATTTTGTAATAAAAGCTACAAGTTAATCCAGGTGAGATGCCCTGGAGGAAAACAGACCTTCCTCTGCTGTGTTTCTCCGGGGCTTATTTAGACAAGTTACCCACCTCCAACACTAGGTCCCTTCTTTGAGCCTTTTCCCTCTATTCAGAGGAGTCCAGTATCAATGTGAGTATACCACAGACCCAGAAGTACTGTCTTAAGGCATTGTCCTAGGCATGACTGCTAGGGAGAACCTGTGAAAAGTGGCCATTGTCCCCAAGGTTATTGGCAGGTCCATAGAATGGGCACAGATGGCTTCCCAAAGGTGCCCATGAAGAGGGCTCTAGATGCCCATCCCTTTGGGTCACCTAGGATCTCACCACTGCTTCAGAAAAGAAACCCCTGACAGCCAGGTTTTTGGCCTCCCTTTGAGTTGGCCCAGTGCTAAACACAACTTCAGAAAGGAGACCCTGCTACATAAACAACGGGTAGCTGCCATTTTGGTGAAGCAGAGATGCCCCCAAATGCCAGGTTTCAAGGGGAAGAGAGCTGGATCTGGCTTTATCCTTGGGACACTTACTGAGAGAAGTCAAGAGGATTTCTGTATTGCTCATGTTCCTACTTGTCACAGGGCTGCCCATTATTCAGATCATAAAATCAAGTTACCGAAAGGGCTCAGGGATTGTGTGTATGTGTTTATAGAATGAAGGAAGGAAGGAAGGAAGGAAGGAAGGAAGGAAGGAAGGAAGGAA